ATTAAATTCTTGAAGCTGAGTAAAAAAAGCGTTAAGTAACAAACCTCCTAACAACAGGAGTCAAATAGGTCAGAAGGATCATTCAAATATCGGTGAAGTTTAGCGAAATCCTACTACCTTAAAAAAATGTGTAAGAAAATGTGAATGACCTGGAAAGAAAAGGTGACGTACTGTATGGCAACTATGGCTGCAAGGGCTTTGTAGTGGCAGCATGTAACTGGCAGCCTCCTGCATTCTGGAAATTCTGAAAAAATTTATACCATTTATACCATATATAAAAAATATATACCATTCTGAAAAAAAAAAAGAAAAGCAGCATTCTCCATTCCATTCTGGAATCCTGACAGGAATCCCTTCTTTTTTTTTTAAATTATTTTTTAATTCCTTTGGTTATGGAGTTAATTTATAATTTTTTCCCCCATGAGTAAAAAATGTCACCCACCTAGAAAATTAAACTGCTGCCATCACCTATTTTTACTTACTAACCAGAACATATAAGCAATACAAAAAAATCACATTACAAATTCAGTTGATCTGGGACTACAAAAATACCAGCATGTAAATATTCAACACTGAGTTGAGAAGAAATGATGCCAAGCAGAATTGAAGCAAGCTGTCCTGTTCACAGCAGGAAGCCTTGTGCTCTACATCCCCTTATCTCTTCCCCACCCCACCACCTCCATCCTTGTCCTGGTTTCATCTGGGACAGAGTTAACTCTCTCGCTACTAGCTGGTACAGTGCTGTTTTGGATTTGGGATGAAAATAATATTGGTAACTGATGTTTTCAGTTGTTGATAAGCAGCCAAGGACGGTTCAGCTTCTCACACTGGCCTGCCAGGTTTTGGTGGAATTGGCCGGGGAGGCACCATGGCTCGGGAACTGGCTGGGCATCGGTCAGCGGGTGGTGAGCGATTGTGCTGTGCACCACTTGTGTTGTATATGATCATTATTGGTTTTTTGATTTTTTTTTCTGTCCTATTAAAGTGTCTTTATCTCAACCCACAACTTTGGTGTTGTGGATTTTTTTTTGTTCTCTCCCCCATCCCACTGGAGGGTGGGGGATGAGCAAATGGCTACTTGCTGGGTTAAACCACAACAGTCCTTTTTGGCACCCTTTGGGTTGAGATAATGACAGATTGGACCAGAGCATGTTAAAACAAATTCATTATAAGCATTCATTTTACCAGTTTAATCATTGCTAGTCAGAATCTTGTGGTATTTGCTCAAAGTTGTTGTGCTGCTTCTCAGAGTTGTTTTCGTATTTATGAAACACTGGCCATGAGACTAATTTGGTATCTGTATTCAGCATGGCTGTCACCTTCAGGAGCTACCTATCGAAAACTATTAATAATTACACTTTTTACCTTTTCTCCTCAGAGAGCCAGTCTATGGAGGAGACACCTTCCTTCATCTTCCCTTTCTTCTTCAGGTTAGTTACAATAACTCTTGGGAACTTTGAATACCCTTGGGATGCTCAAACCAGCATGTTCTTATTGCTATGTCTACTGAATGTGTTTCTGGTCTTGTACTTGTTTAAGGTTAAAGAACCATTTAACAATAGCAGCCAGACATCTGCCCCGAAGCGGGATAGTCATGACATAGCCATGTCAAGCGGGTGGCATGACATGGGAGAATATGCACAGGTATCTAGAGAAGTTCTCACCTCCAATGGTCTGGAACTCTACAACTACAGAACCCTAATGAAGTGACAGAATGTCTGAAAAAAAATAAGTGCTGTGGCTATTCCAGAGAGGCACAACTTACCACGCTGTGCTGGGCCCTGGCCGATCTACCAAGCATTGCTTGGCATTATGCCGCACCCTCAGGGAGAAGAGAGGGGAAAACACACCAACAGGCATTGCAGCTACTCCAAACCCCACGACAGGCACTGTGGCTGCTCCAACCCCCCAAACAGGCACATTATTTTCATCCCAAATCCAAAACACAGCACTATACCAGCTCCTAGGAAGAAAATTAACTCTATCCCAGCCAAAACCAGGATGATCCTCCATTTAAGCAACCTACCTGTCTGGTTGGGTGGGAGACTGTGTGTTACAGCTGGGTTGCAGCTCCACGGGCACTGGGGCAGCGGGTAACCCCAGTCTCCCAGAGCGGTGTCGCTCCCCTCCCCAAGCCCAGCCGCTGATTTTCATGAGAAATTGTACAAATCCACTACTGTCATGCTTTAACCGTCCATCAGTGCCTGGAGATGCCAGCCACAGTGTCGAGAGGTACTTAATGAGACTGATGAGGGGAAAAAGCTTGACAGCACAATCCCAGCAATTAGTCCAAAACCTACATAATTTGCTGGAAATTTTTGTGCATAGCCAGTTCTCTGTTGGTATAAACTTGAATAAGAATTTTAGGGAAACAAAACTTTTATAGAGCACAATACATTTATGTTCTACAGTACAGATGAATTTTTCTATGCAGTTACCCTTAATTTCTCACGAAGAACCTACAAGGTGCTTTCTTCATATCTTCTGCTGAGACATCACAGGTATTAGAACCAGTAACAGGCAAGAGCCTGTTTATTGGATTATTTCTGGATTTTTTTTTTTTTTTTTTTTTTTTTTTTTTTGTTTTTTTTTATTTTTACAAGCTGTATGGCAAGGAATTACCACTGATGTCAAAAAGGGAACAAAAGGCCACTAAATCTCTATTCCTGAATTTTATTTTCATTTAAAAAAATGATGCTGTAAAAGCAATCAAGGTTCAAAATGCAGTTATGGTATGAATATGTAGGTGGAGGGGGTATAGCTGGATTTGGATTTGAGAGGCCTGTGGTGAGGAAGATGCACAAATTCTACCAAACTCCACCTTATTTCAACCCCCTCCTTCCCCGTCTGCGAGAAAGCAGTATCTAGCTGGCCAACTTGTCAGGACAGAGACAAATCCTTCATATGTGACTTCAGCCTTCCTCCAGCATATATTTTTCTTTCTTTACAGAGAAAATAATCTAGACTTGATTTAATTTCATGGTGCTTAAGTACAGGTCAGCTTCTAAATATGCCCTGTAGAAGCCACACTTTGAACGTATTTGTAGTTTGCACTCTAATTATATTACATATCTTTAAATTGGAAAAAAAAATAATTTGAAACTCTGTATACAATGATGATCCCTGAAAATCATGGCTAAATTCAACCACCCAAGTAATATTCTGGAAACATAATTATTTCAAATCCTATTTTGACTTTAGTTTGTACTCCAGCATGTCATTATTTTATTACATAATCACTTTTTCACTTAGGCTAAATTAAAGACATAACAATTGCCTTAATGTGAAATGTGAAAAGAAACAGACCACAGGTACCCAGGAGGCTCAGACTTCTTTCGAATTTACAAAGCCATACCTAGTGCTGTGTTCCATTACAGCACGATCCAGGTTTTACTGTGAAGAGATTCTAGACAAACCCACAACACAATACCACCCTTCACCCCCCTCCTTTCAATCCAGACATCAAGGCAGCCCCAACTTCAGCAAGAACAATTTTGCACCATATAAATTCTAGCAAAAACAATTCTACATATTAGCTGATGACGTTTTTGTTTCTCCTGTAATACAGGAGAACAGCAGGAAATGATCTTTCCAATAGGCAAATATGTATTACAAGGATCACAGCATTATTGTTTTATTGTTTGTACAATGGTAAGTTGCACATATGGACAAACAGTACACATTTAAAATTATTTTCACAAATTAATACATTACAAGAGAGTCCAGTGGTTTAACATATTAACTATTAAAAAAAGCAATAACAAAGGAGTACAAACATTACGGTTTTGACTGCAGCCCAATAAAAGTTTAAAAAAAGTTGAAATAAAAATAAACTGTAAGCTTTATTTTTCCAAGACATAAAAAAACCACATTATATCCCTTCCTAACAGACTGCTCACAAAGATGCAATAACATACAGGTACAAAAGTAAAGAATTCTGTGCTCAGTTTCCCTTAATTTTATCAGATCAAGCGACTAACTGAACATTTGTCAAAGAGCAATCACTGCTGAATGCAGACATCATTTCCAAAACATACAAAATGGTAATAACACTTTAACAATAGAAAGCAAATGACCTGGTACTAGAAAAATCTTATGCACTGTAACTGTTTTAGGAAAAAAAGGTGCTTTTGTGAAAATGATTGTGAATATTCGTTTGATGCATGTTATATACAAAACATCTTCTACATAAAAAGCAACTCAGCTCCAAGGTTCCATGTTCACACTTCAGCCTGTATCTTTACTTGCAAAGATTAAATTGATCTATTATTTCCTCCTTAAGATGTCTTCCCAGATATATCTAGTGCACACCAAATTGGAGATGCAGCAGAAGCTATGATTTTGTAATATGTGAGATTCATAAACTACTGTTACAATAGCTTTACCCTTCAAATTACATCATTTTCCGCCTCCATTCTTTAGCAGCAACTTATCGTACTATACCTCGTATTGAAAGCAGATATGCAACTGCTTTTAAGTCAATGCTAGTAGCCCTGACAAGAAGCTAGTGAATCAACTCTGTTTTTTAACAGCTAATTTGGGTTTTCATTAGAATAGCATATCCTATCTCCCCCAATTGCAGGGAAAAGCTCATCCAGCCCGACCACTCTCTGCTTGCACACAGACCTTGTGGCACCTTGAGCTTTCAGCTGAAATCCTGCAACGCTCTACTGTTCAGCTCAGAAGAAAAAACAAAACCAAATACTTTGGGAACATTACCTATGAAATGTCTGTGTCAAAATCTCAGATTCTTCTTTAGAGTTGGCTGCTAAATGGGTCAAGAAAAAGGTTTAAAAAAAAATACAGCTACTATTCACTATATACCAAACTTTATGAAATAGTAAACATTGTATTTCAGCTGGTCTTAAACAACAAAATACAAGCAGCAATGATGACATAGCCGGGGACCCACTATTTGAAACTCCTAAGGAACATCAAGATATGGGTCCACAGGGCAACATGGAGAAACAGAACACACAAAGAAAGGGAGACCTGGCTATGGGGCAAGGTTTGCACATCTGTATTTTATACATATATATATATACACATACATACACACAGGCGTGTGCACTGTACTGTATATATTTACATCCATATACACAAAAACACCCTGAAGTAGATTTAAAGGCCATATCCAGGAACTGAAGATATGAACTCTAGCATTTGTACTAGAATATATTTTATCTGTACAAAAAAACAAATATGCATATATTCATATGGTATAAAGCTTATTAACAAAAAAGTCTGCTACTAACATTAGGTTAAATAGATGGTTTTACAAGATTCTTTAATAATAATGCAGTATAGAACATTTCTAAAACTAGGGCCAAAAATAAAAATACATAAATGGGTTTCTATTCACAAGAAAATAGCTGTTCAATATGATTTCATTTTGTATTTCAGACTAGGGAAAAGTAGCAAAATTTTTATAAATCTCCTGGGATGCAATTTAATTAATGCATCAATCTAGAAAAATAGACTTTTCAGATGAACAAAGTTGATTCACTTCCCCTTTGCTAAAAGGGGTGCCTATCTTTTCCCTCGCTTGTTTCCAGCTGGAGGTTTCTTCAGCTGAAGAAGTTGCCCTCCTGTCCCAAAGCCTGCAGATGCAGGATTAGACACCCCGAACGTCAGGCCAGCTGATGCTGTGATGCCGGGATTGCTGAAGTTAAACCCAGACGTAGTCGAGCTGCCAAAGCCTTATGAGGGAGGGAAAAATATTTTGAAACATAAGTTATATCAGGATTGCAAATTTGTTATTGGAGTTATGAACACCAGCCACTTCATTACCAATATTTGTAATACTTTATACTAACATGGATCTACAACAGTATGCCACATTGCTAACACACTTGGACCTGCTGTAACAACTTGGATATTAGAGCACTAACACAGTCTACCTCAGTGATTGTAAACAATCATAACTCACAAGTCTATTATACCATTATCCATACAACAGTAGTAGCCAGGAGTCCCACTGAACTTGTAGAAAAGAGGAAGCAGAACTCCTCAAGTTGTTGGTCTAAATACATAATGATGCATAGGGTGGGAGGGAAGGCAGAAGTACAAGTGGACCACAGCCCGCTCACTTCACTCACGACAGGTAAACGGCAAAGCTGGAGTCAGAGCTCCCAGACTTGTGCCCTACTGACTAGGATACCTTTGCCCGTCTTCATAATGTATGTGGCACAGACCACGCCTTAAGTGAGAGGCAGAAAAGGCTCAAAATCCTTGCCAAATTCTTGGTATTTAAAAACACCCGTTATGACTTAAACCAAAAAGCAGCACCGAAAACAAAGCTTTGGAAAAAATTAATGACTAGGTGAGCAAACTGTGCTATTTTAACTCCTCCACCCTCTTCTGTCAAGATAAACAAATTGAACACTCGGTTCAGCTATAAAATAAGATCAGTTGACGAAAATCTGCCTACAGTTTTCAGCAACAGCAATACCAACTAATTTTATGCGTTGGTTTTTTGTGAATTTATATTAGTTATGCACAACCAACTTGGATAATAATCGAAACTACTAGAGAATGTTAGAAATCTCAAATATGAGTTAACAAGAACTTCATAACTCTGCTTTTTGTCCTCTCAAGAAACTGAATAAGGTAACCAATCATACAAAATAACAAGTATCACATGAGCAAGTTAAAATCTTAACAAATAGTTTCATAGAAGTTGAATATGGAAACTTGTAATTAAGAAAAAATGGGACTGGTTCACAAGCAAAAAAGGGTATCTTCTCAATACACATTACTTAACATAGTTTTGTTAGTTCTCTAGTACACAGTTAAAGCAATCCTTTGGTCACATCTGTATCTTCAACTTAATGCCTAATTATTTTTAAAGCACAAAAATAAAAACTCAACTGGTTGTCTCGTCAGAATCTCAAAGTGGCTTGTGTCACAAGCCTGATGCCTTCTGTTCTCTCACTTGTTACTGATGCTTTGCATGAAGAACTACTTCAAAACATAGCATGAAACTGTTCCTCCTGCAGTGTCTGGACCTGGGTTACACACCACATCATCTTGTCAAGAAAATCCCCCATTATCCACATTCCAGTAACTAGTAATTGCAGTCCTTCAACACGCAGTTGCCTGTGCAGAACTCACTGTCAATATAATGTGTGCAGATCTGGAGTGTGACTAATAATATTGTTCATTTGGGTCTTGTCTAAATTTTCTGGACTAATTTGTCTCTCATCCTAGGAGTGAAGGGGGTGTCAGGGGTGAAGTTGATACAACTATTCCTCCATTTTCCTGCTAATTCTGAATCCCAAATAAGATTTTTTTTTTTTAGAAGAATAAACTTGTTCTTTATCAGGGAGTCTCACAAATGAAAAAAATCTTTAGTAACAAAAACTGTTCTTGGTAAGTTACCTTTTTACTTCAAGTATGTACCTGAGATAACAAGTAAGCACTTGCCTCCTATAGAAAATATCATGAATGCCATTCATAATAAAGCTGTATGTGATCTATCATGTCAGGAGTTCAGTAGGCAAGGGTAAAGTGTTCATGAATTACCTCCACCTAGCTGCTTTTAGATATAGGGATTAGTTTGAAGCATGCAGGGAAGGCAGCCTGAGCTTTATTTGAGTAATGTTAGAATAAGAAAGAGATGCATAAACTGTGTGATAGAAGATTGAAAACATGTTTGTTAATTTAGATATAACTCCAAAAGTAATAGCTGTTACGTTAGAAGTGCCATTTAGGGCAGCCATGGAAGTGTAGAAAGGCAGAAGGGAAATTCAGCTAAATGGTTTTGTCCTGGCACGGCCGCAAAACAAGGCCATGGTATTAAGTTATTTTCTTAAAAGTAAACCAAACCCTAAAGCAGAATACTCAAATGAAAAATATTCAGGAAAAAACAACGTTGAACAAGATATACATTCAGTCTTATTCCTGTTGCAAGGAAAGAGAATCAGTCATGGAACCAGCTCAGTTCTAGAGGGAAGAGTCACAAAGTCTTGAACCACAGTTACAATGTGATTGATGATTTCTTTGTTGAAATTAGTACTACTTATGTGTAAACAATTATTTTCAGAACATAAGTGACAACCTGCCCTTTGAGGGCATAGAATTAGCATCTCCCTGAAGGACCTTAGAGTACACTTTTATCATTGGGTTTTGCATCCCTGCTTCAGTCAGCCCTTTAGACAGGTAAGCCAAACGCGAGGTACACACCTCCCCATAACAGTATTTTTTTAATTTTAGCACTACAGGGATAAACAGCAGTCCAGCAGATCTCAAAGACAATCTATTCCTGCCCTCATCCCCCACACCACAATGGGTGCTCTAGATCAAAAAGGATTTCCAGCACAGCTTTGACTGATTTACTATAGCCTCATAGTTACACATGGATTATATTCAGATCCATTTTTCAGCAGTATGAGTATTTCCAGCCATAACTCCACTTTGATTATCTCTTATCCCTTGTACTGAAGCTGCTATTCTTCAATAAAAATAGTTCTCCAACACAAATTCTCAACTCAGCTCTTCAAAGCATATTTAGCACATCAGTTTCCACAAAACCAGCGTGTGTGTACAGCCCCCCCTCCCCTTAACATTATATCATTCAATGGTGATTTTTTTCCCTTTTCCCATCACTTTGGGAGTCTTAATGCTCTTTATGACATCCCACTCACAGCAGCCTTTTCAGTCGCCATCAAATGAATAACAGTAGGAATTAATTGAAACTTGGAGTCAGCTTCCCAGTGTCTTGTTCCATCTTGCAATTGTGTGCACTAAAGGAATTGAGAGAAGACCACAGTTGCTCTGCTTTTCATCTACTGACACAGTGGACACAATGACTCCTCCTCAACTAAGCCCAATTTACTATTAGAAGATGCTCAAATACTTTCATAAGACTCAATTTTCTCTTCAAACATACCAACTGAAATTGAGAAGAGCAGTAATACTACTAGAAACATTTTCAAATCTTTTAAAGCAATTAAATCTAACTCATAACTTAAAAAGATTTGACAAAAGCACTTTGGGGATCTATAGTTTTCATTCTAAAATAAGAACAAACTGATGGAAAACATATGGAGGGGACTTGGGGCATTATCTAAGCAGCCTAGAAGGACAGGGTGACTGAACACTTCATAGACATTAGTTTGGGAAAATACTTAACCACTCACATCTAAATACAAGTAGTAACAACAGTATATCCCGTAACCCATATTCACTCCATTTTCCTAGCTTTTTCAAAAGAAGAAGATTCAGAAACAAGATACAACTATCATACAGTAATATAAGCCAGAATATTGTTTCAGGATCCTCAAAATGTTATTTACGAAACAGGACACATTGAAATAAAAAAAAAAATTAACCTGGCTAGCCTCAGGCATCATCCAAACCCATTTATACACCCTCAATGAAATTAAATTGAAGATCATACACAATCCAGAAGCTATACAACATAAGATTTTGTATATAAAAGTTAATGTGCTTCTGGTTACCAAAGTTTTATGGAGCTTTCTATTCTAGATCAAGCTTTCATGACCACTTTGTTTTATAAGAACAAAATTACAGGAATTACATTTAATCTTTTATATGACTGGTTACCACCTTCTATAACTAAGACTCTTGAGATAACTGAAAACAATCTTCATTTTATTGGGTCCAACTTCCTCACTGCTGAAGAGAGACTGGGGGCACTGCCACCATGACAAAGCCTCGTTTGAAGAATACAGTGAAATGACATCTAAATTGTCTCTGCACACCACCAAGACAGACTTGCTATTTACTTTGGTTTGATATCTCGTTAGTGGTGGATAACTGATCCACACAACTAGTTTTCTAATTATATTTTTTAATATACTAAAACCTAATTTACATATTTTGTAACTTAGCAGCTTGAAATGCTTCAATACTATTTATATAAATGTTAATAATAGGTAATATAATATAGGCTTAGGAAAAATAAACTACAAGATAAAAATGTCAGCAGTGTTAAGTTTTCCACTTGCTTCTGATATTAAAAACTAACTAAACAAAAGAAGGTTGGTGCTTAAACAATGCATATTGCAAAATCAGAGATGTTCTATCAAAAACTTACTGGGGTGTTACACATTCATGAATGTTACATAGCCAGCTTCGTGAGCTATTTCCTCCTTGCAATACGAAGTTTAAGGTACTTTACAGGCCTAATTTGACAGCATAACCCATCACTAACCAAGGAAAAAGCAAAACAAAACACACAGTAACTACCTAGACACTGGTCCAAGCTAATGTATTGGGCACTTACTAATACACACCAACCACTTGCTATGTTTTCATTAACAGCAGTTAAAGGAACATTTTGCTTTTAAAAACGAAACACACTACCAAAAGCCAGTCCCAGGAGACATGATACTTCTTCAATCTGTCATTGAAGAAAGACTGTAAGACACACTATAGTAAGCTATTTGCCTCAGAAACAAACTCCTATTTAAAAATTAGAGATACAAGCTATAGAAGCGAACAAGATTTCAGACATCCGAGTTACGAAGCAATTGCCTCCCTATTTTCATTTTCTCACCACCAACAAAATTAAACCAAAAAAAGTTAAATGAGTACCGAGTAGTGCAATTGACACAGAAATATTTTCAAAGTAGTTAACACAATGAATTATGGATATATACAGAGAAAGAATAATTATAACTTACTATTCAAATACAAAGGATAAGAGATAAAACAGTTTTAGGGAAGCCTTCTGGGCTTCTAAAAAATAACTTTAACTTTACTTGTAAACACAGAAGTCAAATTACTGGTATATTTGTCACAAATTTATATACTAATTTCAATAGCTCAGGAACTGCATAGCCTATGCATTCAAGTAGTAACTGCATTTCTGTGCCTCAGACTGCATCTGATCCAATCTGATACATCTGATCTCCTGCTTCCCACTCCTAATTAGACAAGACACCAAACACAAAACATTAACACTCACTCAATATCGTCTACCTAGGAGACCTTTAACAGAACCTAAGAACTTCTCAGAAATGTGTATTTAGCAAGTATTTATTTTAATGGTTATATACACATGCAACTTTAAGCACATATGTTTCAGTAGCTTGCTTAGACTGAGTGCAGCAGTTTGATTATAATACTTTGGCTTTACGATAAACTTGAATTCAAGAGAAACAAACCAACCTGCACTTAGACTTCCTGATGGCTTACTTGTAGTTCCAAACCCAAATGATGATGCTCCTGTGGCACTACTTCCAAAGGCAGAGCTACTTCCAAATCCTAGTAGAATAATAGTAAAGACATACAACAAAAAAATTACAGACACAGCAATTAAAGACACATAGGTTTTGGGTGGGGTATTGTAAAACCAAACATAATTCTAAGCATTATTTGGTAAACAAACATTCCTAGGATTATTGCCTCAGGAGGACTTTATTCACAACACAACATTGCATTAAGAAAACAGTGCAAACAGGAAAGCATTGGAGAAAAAAATACTTCCTTCAAAATGCAAAACTGAGTAAAGGAAAACCTGTAAGAACAGCTGAAGTAAACTACTGGAGTTTATGAAATTTCTATTGAATTATTGCTAAATTGGCAAGAAAATGGTAATTAAATGGGCCAAAACTAAGAAAATTCAGACACAAGCTATATGACTTCTATTACAGAAAGCCATACTCTTCATCCACAATTCTAAAAGAAAAATTCTCTACACTTAAAACAGAATAAACATTTTATTGAGTTTACATTTGGCATATTTTAGAGTGTCGTTCCCCCCCAGCTCCCCCCCGTTATTTGGCATCAGCTTTATCTAGGAAACCACAAAATAGGTTAAATACAGAATAGAAACAGAACTTCACAATACTTAATGGGATAAATCATCATACAAAGGGCAGCCATAGTAATAAAACTCATTCTGTTAATTTTGTAATTTACATTTATAATTTCATAATATAAATATTTCAAGATTTCAAACTGTGCTGTTAATATCAGATCACTTACAAAGGAAAAGTAAGTAGATATCTGCAGTTTGAGATAAAGGCCAGACAAAAGGAACAGTAAGAGAAATATATTCTCTGATTTTGGCTGTCTCAAGAGGTTTTCAAAAAGAGAACAGTATTTGTATTTGAGGAACTTATGCCCTCACCTTAATTTTCAAGTGTCAGGGAAAATACTTGTATTTTACTGCAAATTGAGCCTTTACCATTCCTTTACAGGAATGATTCTTAGATTTTAAAACTAGTAAGAATTGAACATACTATCTGAAGCAGTGTTCTCTAGTCTTCTGCAATTTTTAAGTAAGTTTTAAGGGTATATAATGGCAAGTATCATTTGAATGCAAGCCAGTTTATTTAAACTATATACTCTTTTGTCTTATCTAGTTTGAAATTAATTACTAATGGTCAAGCAAGGTGTCTGCAAAAGTTTAATGAAGCATAGGATCTATACGCTACATATCTTATATACATAAATGCAAAAGCCTCTATGTTTATCACTGACAAAATTCACTGAATGTTTATCATGGAAAGAAAGCAAATTTCCCCAATTAAAATATGTTTCAAAAGTATACGTTAAAAACTGTCCTGTTCAAAAAACTCCCTAAGATTAAAAAAAAAAAAAACGTAAGTATTCATATTCCACTAATTTGTTTCAAAGAGCACATCTGCAGGATATTTTGCATGTATTCCTTTATTCTTCTACACTTGCTTCTATCAGATAGTCTTGATTTGTCAAAAGACGAAAATTTCACAAATTAATACAAATAGATGAAATGCAAACAAATGCCTTCCTAAGCAGAGAACTAGCGGAAAAAGAATACAAGTTAGGCCTCTAAAACAAAACTGTTGTGCATCAACTTAAAAGAAAATGTCCTCTAATTTACATTGGCAAGATTAGTGAACATATATAAGCAATCTTTAGTCCACAACCTCTTTGGTTGAAAAGGAAAAATTATGGTGGTCGTCCCCCCCCCCCCCCCCCATTGTGGGAACAACCTGGTAATTCAGAAGTACTTTCCTCTTAGCCCACTATTCTTTGTTATTTTCCCTGTTTAGGTGTACAGACTTAAAATCTGATGTGAAAGGACATTGGTAGATTTAAAGATAATTTCAGCACGATCATTTAAGGCACAACTGATGTAACGTTCAAGTTACATTATCTTTCCAATACCGAGTGATGCTTAATTATTTTAAATACAGTACAACACCGATTCAGAGGTTCAGCTCAAAGAGGCAACATGTAGGGATGCAGGCTGAGGCTGCAGAGAAGAGAGCACTTAATGAGAAAAAACACAACACACTGTCTGTGCTCAGCAGATGTAACAGTTTTCTTTGCAGGTATCATACAAAAGTCTTCTGACTTGCACTGTAGGAACGCCTGACCTTTACAGACAGAAAATTTACATGCAGATTAGATTCTACTAATCACTTAGATGCTACTTGAAGTTCTACCACTGACAATTCATTACATTTAAATGAAAAGGTGTACATGAATTTTGTAATTTTTTTATTAGCACCTACTCTTTCCGTTATGTGTCCCCTTGGAATATATTCCCCACCAGCACTATTAACACTTTGGTAAGTATTTTTCCCCTCACTTTCAAATGTTGCTTTTTCAGCTTGAGGAGGGTTTCATTTTTTTTTTCCACAGACAAAAGCTAAAGCTCAGACAGACTGACAGCTAAAGCAAATAAGTTGCAGCAAGCAGGATCCCAGAACTGTAGTATTTTTTTAGCATTTATTCTTATCTTAATCCAAGCAGAAATGAGTTCCTGTATTTAACAGTTGTACATACAGGTGAAAAACTTCTATGGATTCACTACAGCATGATCCAATGTCTCAGGTGCCTATCTTCCATATATGTAAAATTAAGTCAAGTTGTTATAAAACGATGTCCTTGATGTACTTCCCTAGCTCTAAGAACAGAACTTCTATGTGATTACTTCATCCCATTCATCCTGAGATTTCACAACAATGGCTTATTAGCCTTAGTATTAGCCTTAGCAACCCCTTCTGCAAGGCATGAAAAAGTTTGGAAAACACAGACTGCCAAATTGTAAGGTCTTTCCCTGAAACAGATCATCCTCTTAGTGGAGTTAAAGGTTTGCAAGAGATTCAGATGTGCGGTATAATAATTCAATGAAAGATTAGAAAAGTTAAAGTGTACCTCCAAGGCTTGAAGAACCTAAGCCACTTGATTGCAAGCCAGTGCCAATACCTGAGCCGAATGGCGTTCCAAAACTAACTCCCAGAGATGGCTGTGGCCCTGGTATAAAAAAAATGAGAACAAACTTGCCTTACTCTTTCACAGTAAAGAGGTCCTTTATTTATGCAAGTATTTGATAATGTGAACATCATTGCTTTCAACAAATCCTACTAAGATCCCAAACAAAATTCCTCACTTAACTGTCTGCCTCTATGTCCACGTGGTAAAAATCTAAGAAAACACTGATTGTAGTAAGGTGAAACTAGTCCAAGCTAAATAACATAACATAATTTAGTACTTTTAAAAGTTAACCACTCTCACCTTAAACTTTAAAACTTTAACCAAAACCTTGAGAGAACTCATAGGTAACAACATTTTGCCACCCATCTTAATGGAATTAGTATAAGGGAAAACCTTCAAATTAAAAACATAGGAACTGACACTAATGTAACTAAAACTATACTGCCAAGTTAATTTATTTAAAAAATAGGAATCTTCAAGACTACTCAAGTATTCTGTCCAAATTTAAATAGAACACTAAGATAAAAAACAAGACAATGACTTTATTTTATTAAATTTATTGTTCATTTTTAAGCAAGTCAATTACACAGTAACATGACAATTCAATTCTTTTCCACACAAGTGATAACTGGAGTTCTGTTAAGCTCTGCTACATAACACCATTCAATAAGGTAAACTAGTCAAACCACCTGTTTAAATAAACATTTACAAAAGGCACAGTTCTGCGTACCTTAATGAATTAGTTACATTCAAAATTTTAGAGTCAGAGTTTGTCCCATAGTTAAAAAAAGTTGACAGTACCTTCCCTGCATATTCATACTAAGATGCAGGACTGTCAAAAAAAACATTCTCAGTCTGCCAAGATGAAATTTACAGCCTCAGCTCCTTTTTATTTTTTCCTTACCCTTGGGGAATAATCAACTTGCTAGCCCATTACTAACACATTTTAAAATAATAATTCTGATAAATAATTAATAAATTTTGACAGTTTTCACAGTACAATCTTATATTCCTGTCTTTTTCAAACAGTTTTCAGTGCACTATTTAAAAAGTTTAACCATCGAAGATAAAATACAGTGCCAAACTCTTAATCCACAGACATTCACACCTTTCCTCAAGATAGCCTTCTCCATCTTTGAACATACTTTATGTCCTATATCTGTGAAAGTGATGATTTATTCAAATATTACTATAAAGCTCATATTATTTCAGTCTTTTTCTTAAACCGTTATCACATTTGGGCTTATTTTAATTCAAATTTCTTCCTTCATACTACAAAGTTTCCTGTCGCTAATATTTATCTAGCATTTTAAAATGTAAATATTTCAAGCTTTTAAAATCATTTCAGTATTTGAAGATTTAAATGGAAAATCATTCTGAATCAAGTGAAAGGCACTGTATATTGAAAAGTAACATGTTTGCTAGGAACACAAAATTCTTATGTGATCCAAGCTGAATGACATCTGTATACTCAAAAGTAGTGTTAAGCTAAAATTTAAGGGCAACTAAAGTTGTTAGCTTTCAGTCTCTGCTTAGCAGGGAATAACTGGGAAACCCAAGATATTTTTTCAACTAAAAAAAGTGTATCAGATGTTGCAATTACAAATTTTCACATGACTTTCAAACTAAGCTTGTTTACATCCAGTTTAAATACTGATACATCTACCTAGCAGCTTTTTAAAAATAAAAGAAAATTGTTATCAATAAAAAGAAACAGAAAGCCCTACAAGTCAGTCATCTAATAAACTACAAGAAGAACCCGAAACCACATATCCAGTTCCTACTCAAGTGCACAGGTTTCTATCTCAGTAGGAGGCACTGTTAGTGGAAGACCTTAAAACAAAACACTACAGTCCTCCAGCACAAGCTTTTTACCAAATACAACATGCTTTTTAGAGCCAGTAAAAAACATTCTAACACACCTCAGATTATATAAAACAGGATTTTATGCCTTAGGCTAACAAGCTTTTCATTGAGCAACAGCATATGATATTTCTTGATTTTGTACCATAATGTTCTGAAGGCATCATCACTACTTATAGTTCTTATAAGTAAGCATAATTTTCAATAGCAAAAAACTAGTACTAAAGAGTCTTCGATGCCAAAAGTACTAGCAAAAAATTGGCACTTCTGGCTATTATAGGTACGAGACAAAATCTTTGTAACAAGTATTTTAACATTTTAAAACTTGATATATTTGCCCTGTAGAGCAGTTCAGTTCAATGAACAGGACCCACTACAAAGAGTCCAGACAGATCAGCCAGATTTCCTAAAGTGACAGTCTGCAATTTTTAAAAAAAATCACAGCTGGTCCTAACAGTGAACAAATTTAGTGTCACAACTTAGATCTGATTCTGACAAAGTAATACACCGAGTAATTTTAACCACGGTTAATACCAAATTATGCAATAAAAATTTAAGTGCTATAAAGATTTCAGTATCTTTTCCCATTAGCACTTCAATCTCATACTGAGCCAAGTCAAAACATAACAAAGTGTGCTAATAGCTTGATAATGCTTTAACTAACCCTGCACTTCACCAGTTAAGGAGAGAGTGACTAAGTTGTTGGAGAGGTTCTTTATTTATTTTCAGAGGATCTTGAAGAAAAGCATTTCTTTAAGACAACTTAGTCTTACCAGAAAAACATCAGTTTCAGCCTCATGCATTTACAGCTTAGTTTGCTAGGCTTTAATGCTTTAATTTCCTTTAAAATCTTTTACTTTAGTAGTATCAATAATAATAGGTAGACTAGCCACCATCATTTTAACTTCCATGCTGTTCAAGATTGCTCAGGGAAGATGCAGCTGAGGCAGTGGTTAAAACTCTAGCTGCTGCTGCACAAAAGGATGACCAGCCTCACTGCTACCAATAAAGCTGTGCTCAGAGCAAAAGTGCTAAACTAGGGAGAAAGGTTGTGTGCAGACAAAGCTTAAGCATAATTTTAGTAACTCTAGCTTCAAAAAACTGCACAAAAACTGTGCTTCAGTGTACACACCACAGTCCTGGTGTCCTGACTATCCATCCCAGGAGACCAGTGGAGTGCATCTTTGCTCCCTTTCTTCCATATGGCCAGGATCCACTGGCTTTATTTCAGTAGAAGCCAGATATGTCTTGGCATACAGAGAGAACATGAATAGGGTGTGTATCTACACCCAGGAACTGGGTAAACATTCCCTGATCCCACAGCTTAGATGTAGCTACTGAACTTTTGACTTCTGAACACAAATGTAAATTACATTATTTATCTTCTTCAGAGAAAGAACAGCAACTAACTCTAAATTAATCTTATGAAATAGACTTAACCACGTAAACATAAAATATTTTTTAGAAAGAGACAAACCATTCTGATCCCTCAAGACTAGAGTACCGTATATTAGATTTTAGTTAAACAGTTTAAAGCCCAGATTAATTCTCTTGTTTTATTCTTATCTTCAATAACAGCAACAGCAGGTCAGGTATTACATACACCCCCTTTTTCCCCCCTTTACATACACCTCATTTCATAGTCTTTTCTCTCATAATCTTTTACCATCCCTCATCTATCCTCTCTTCAGGATCCAGATCTTGCAAAGGAATATGTGTGATTTTAACTTCTAGCAGACAGTTTATAAAATTTATAACAAAACACAAAGTTAAAACATGCAAACATTTGCAGTTTTACTGCAGCAAATGTCCATCAGAAAATGGAAATTAAGAGGAGGCAGTCTTTAAATATTTAAAGATTCCTGCAAAACTAAAATAATAGATTCTTCCCCTTTTCCACTAAGGGTAAGACAAAACGTGGCAGCCTTAATCTGAAGCTAAGAAGCTTCAGGTAAGTTGTTGTGAAAAAATCAAGCACTGAAATCAGTTATTTAGGAAAGTTGTGAAATTGTCCTTTCTAGCAAGCTTTTAAGACTTTAAGGTATCTCTGAAATAGTTCAGGCCTGACTAATCCTGCTTTTGAACTAGAGGAACAGAAAAGATGACTTCAAGTTCCACCTAAAACTCTTAGAAAATAGGGTTAAATACTCCTGAAGAGCCACTCAAAACACCAATCTACCTCTATTTCTCCAGGTCCTCAAGTGAGTTGCATGGAGGGGAACAGTATTTCAACTAAGTAGTAAAAAAATTGATGTCTACTTTTGTTGGCATGTTTAATGTAAGTTAATGGCTTTGCTCTGTCTGCATCACTCATGTAGTTGGCACTTTTTTGGCTTTTGAAATACTCCACCAAAACAACCAACAAAAACACCCCAAACCAATCATACACTCACATTTGCTCCTTTCACTACAAAATGTTACAGAATACCTCAAGGTATAAAGTCACCTAACCTCAGGTGTGTTGGTACAGGTCAATTCTGCCTCCACACCACCCCCTTCACTCCTACTCCTAAGAGGATATTCACGAAGTCATGCCATAAGTGGCACCAATTTACTGAAGTTATTAGATTGAATCTGGACTAGGAAAAGGAAGTTCAAATCTCTCACCCCAATTTGTGAAAATGCAGGTATAACTTTAAATGTGACATCCCAAGTATATGATTTTCATACACAACTAATCTTGTAATGCCCGTGCAGAGTATTTTAAAAAAAATGAGACAAGGAGAAAGATGAAGGGAGAAGGAACTCCTCTGGTAACATTAGGCTGCACAAGCCACACTTCTATCTATATTAAACCCCCTGAAGGTAACATTAGATTATCTCACATTTTGTTTAAAACCAGGCTCTTTTGCAAATGTCACTTCAACAAAGTTTCCATGGATTAACACAGCAGTAACAGGAAGACTGTGGTCTATGACGGAAATTTAGAGGAGAAATATTTCATAAAGACTTCATTTTTTGTTGTGTTCAAAATATTTTGGCATATTTGTCTTTTAAACCCATCTCCTTGCTATTTATAACGGCCAGGGCTGGAAGTACATTGTACTTTCCTCTTATGGAGGAGGCAAGGACAGTCTAATAATTTGTCAAACTTTGGGTGGTTGCTGCATAGGTTTCTAATAAAAACCATTCAAAATACAACTGCTGTTATAAGAGAAGAGAAGGAAATGGTGCCAATATGACTTTCAATACACCTATGATAAACAACATTTTAGGAAATAAATGGTAGAATGAAGTTACCTATGCTTTTCATAATTTGTTGACATAGACATATCCACTTTCAAGTAAAATTAAATGGAATTTCTCTTATTCCCGTTAAATGGTTAAATATTAATTAAATGCTCTACATTCAAGAATCCTCCTCTGAGAAGTGTTGGTTAGTATAACAATGTCAACTAAGGTGCCTTAAATTATCTCCTTTGCCATGGGTATCAATTCTTCATTAGCAGTGGGTCATGCATTTCCTCTGTTTTGGTCTTCCTCTTACACACATGCACACACAGAACCACTGATCCACTCTACTTTCTCTAATATTTATTTGCAACAGCAGAATGGCCAGCAAAAACTGCTCCAACATCACCCTGACAAAGGAGTTGGCTATAAAATAAGCAGCCAGGCATCCATCTTCCTATTCTACAGATGTTTGCTCCACATTCCTTCCTTTTCTACAGCATTTTTCATTTTACAGGTCCAAAGTGCTATATAAAAATGTATTATTAATTTTACATAAGAAAAAGGTAATATGCATTTGGATATTCTCTCCTCACCGATTTGAAATAATTTACTATAACCATTACAACGCTGGAAAGAGGCTATACTACGTGTATTCAGAGATGTTAGTTAAGAGTGAAGACTCACATTCCAAGGGGTAAGTTAGAACAATACAGTAAATATCACTAATACAAGTAAATTCACAAGATTAAGTATCTGTTGTATAATTATTGCTAAGTCTACCCTGCTTTTTTCTATTGGCTATGTATCAGTAACTTTGCTCATCACAACGTTTAGATTTTTAGTCGAACACAAAGGAAGACTTCATAGAAAATTTTACACAAATTTACTATTGTCGTAACACTAATAATCTATAACTTGAATGCACTCAGACCTGTAGCAGGCTGTTGCTGCTGAGTAAGTGTTGCAGCCATCGCAACGGCTGCTGCATTTGGTATGTTGCTGAAAGGGGTCGGTCCAGTGGTAACACGTGGCGCGCTCTGCCACTTCTTAGCTTCTGTTCGTCTTGCCTCAAACACATCCATGGCATCTCCCAGAAAGGTTTTCCTGTAGCCAAGGTATTGGTCTTTGAGCATCTGAAGGGGGTGGGGGGAAGCCATTTTAGTTCAGTGTATTTGACATAAAACCTTAACTTAATAAGGGAAGAGTTAGAAGAGTTGTAACACTGAGTTATAAATAACATTTTCCTAAAAAAACCAAAAAACCCCACCCCACAACCTGAAAGGATCTAGTAAGGCTATGAGCTGGAAAGAATTGTTTTGCATCAGCTACAGCCAGAACAGATTCCTTAAATTCTGCAAAGCAGTCAAACATAACATACTGAATGGTATCAAAATCTTTCAAAGTTGGTGTACATCAGCACAATTAAATTTGTATCACTGTACTAGCTGACTCAAGAGGCAAAATACAGCCACATTATGAGCTTATAACATAAAATAACACTCTTCTTCAGTGCTACCCTTTCTGTATTGACTATGCTCTTCCTCCCCTATCACCTTTACCTGTATATCTTTCCTTCCTTTCATATTTGCATTTCTTTCTTAGCACAAACCTAAAAAAGCTATGAGAATTTTAGAATTCACTCTTGTTTCTGAGGCATTTCATCAACAATGTAATGCAGTGCAAATGCAATAGATCATTCTGCTTTAGACTAACAAGTAGCCCAAATCTGTTGTGTCATGTCCCCCCTCCCCTTGCCTATGCCCCTTTCCCCCTCAAAACCCCACCTTCCATAGCAACACCTGGCTTGGCCTGTTCATCACGAGCCATTTCTATCTGTTTCAGATGAGGGAACTACAGGTATCTTGGGTAACATAAAAAGAATAAATGGCTTCAATTAAAAAACTGATAGAATGACTGCCATATTCTGTCAGAATCTTTAAATGTAATAGATTTATTAAAACCAAAGAATAGTAGGTTCAATTGAATTTTATTGAAAGCATACTATGTCCTGTCTTCCTGGCTAAGGATATGCTTGTTTCCGATAAGAGGAGCTTACAGCCCAAAAATTCTGAATCGGGATTTTAACAGCTGTAGTCCTAAGTCTATAAGCAACAGCAGGAAAACACACAGAAAGAATGGCCTCATTATCACATTAGGAGTGCCATCTTTGGCGAGAGAAGACATTTGTAGAACTCTGATGAAATTTAACACAATGCCATACTGACTGCCATAGCAGCTGACAAACTCTACTAGACATTGTAGAGTAGTTCTTAAGGCTAATCTATGCAGAATGATTTAAGGACATTCTCCATCTGAATTGTGCCCAAGCACATTTTGCTCTTCACTGACCATGACTACAGAATGTATCTGTATGTTCATATATGATATAAATATTTAACAACTAGCCCTGTACAAAGATGTTTCAGGCCATATTTATCTACAACTTTGGACCATTGAATCAAAGTATGGGCAAACCAGAAAGCCTATTTCAGCCAAAGGAACGAATTGCGGTCACAGCTCTGCCTTCACAAACCATATCACAACCATCAAATAAGGCAGAGACAGCAGTTTCAAAATTACTCTCCTCTGCTAGCTGATAAACTAAAGCAGATGGTCAGAATGACAGAGCCACATAAGCAGTGCATTCATTTTTCTGATTTTTGAAGCTTTATTTATGATTGTGTCTTCCAAAAATATCGGCCTTCATGTCCACCCACTAGATTAAATCTCAGAAAAATTCCCCAAAAGAAAGAAAAATCCTCAAACCAACCCCTTAGTTTCAGACAACATATATTTCCTAAGAACAATTGAAGTCTTTCCTTTTCAGTCATGCTTGACAAGGTACTGAAGATACTATTGCTTATACTTGCATACTAATCCAGCTCTTCACATTGAAGAACACCAAAAATTGTACCATCAAAGACCACTGCATGAGTTCAGGCTACGCTCAGATCTTGGAAGTGAAGAGCCCAGAACACATTTGGGAACCTTTTTGTGTAATTCTGCTAAAATTATGGAAAAGCAGATATAGAATATATCTGGTACCAAAACAGAGTTAAGAGCAGCACAAGTATCTGATGGCAGGTAGCTGTAAACCAGTGAATATCCATGCTGACAGAAGGACTGCAATGCAAGGAATCTAGTTCATACAAGATCCTCAGTATTTCTGAATTTTATTTGGGAAAAGTAAAACGTTTCAGATGTTTAGAGAACTAGCCATACTGTGCAGAAGAAGCTTTAAGAAGGAAAAAAGCAGAAGATTTACCAGAGCTATTCTGATTAAGGAAGTCACTTAGAAACAATCCCAAACACTTGTACTCTTCTCCAAGGCTTTTTTTTGTAACCAACAAGGGTTCTGAGCATCACAAGAAAAATTATGGACTGTAGAACATTGACATTTTGTCAATATGTCCAGAACTGTAAATGGTAAATTCAAGCTGGGGTCCATGACAGAAAAAACAAGCCTAACTAGGACCTTTGCTACACTAGCATTTTTTCACCTTTTTTTTTTTTAATCACAGTAGGTCTTTTTTTTTTCCTATACATATGACTTTCCATGAAAACCAGGTTGAAAAAAAATTAAGCAAGCCAGAGGACAATTTTCACCGAAATTCTTTGAAATGCTGAAAGAGCTTACATATGAATACCTACTTTTTCTCCTGTTACCTGAGTTAAGAGCAGGTTTAGATCATCTTTGCTTGAGACCAAGAGGTCATTGGGCAAAAAGCAAAACACACAACCATGAGGTCAAAAAAAGACATTTCAAAAATTCATCAACAATTGAAAAGGAAAAAGCATTAAAGGAAAAACATTTTGTAACCTAAATGATTATGGTCTGTTGCTATCATCACCATAAGTAATTCAAATTAGACTTCAGCTGAACAAAAGTTACTTTTTTAGTCAAAGCACTTCTCCAGGACAGTTTGAAAATTTTTAAAAGCAGTTAATTTAACAGAAGGACAAAAAAGAATACCTGGAGAAGTAAGTTTTTAAAAAGCGGCTCTCCGTAGTTCTTTCACTAAATACACAGTAACACATCAATACAACATACCTTTACGTTTTCATGTATTGATTGAAGTTGTGCAGCTAAAGCTACAAATGTTTGATAGATTTTCTGCATAGCCATAGACAAATCTGTAAGAGGCATATAAAACATTGGTAAGCAATGATCTTACTACCAGGCGAAAAGATTTAGTGTTTATACTGCAGCAAGAAGCCCACCCAACACGCATACAACACAAAGCACAAAAACAATTGCATGAGAACAAGTTAATGTCTATAATACATACAGAATTTGGGAGCAATTGGGTGACAAGTCACCCATGGACTACTTTTTGAATGGGCTTCAAACTTTATTTTGAAAAGTATTCTTTTCTCAGATTTATTTTTATATACATGGTAATTTGTTTCCTACGATTCTATCATTTAGCAAAGCTAAAAATATTATTTAACTTAATCTAATTACACAGGAACATTTTACCTCACTGATTTTTACATAAATATAGTTAAATCAGATTTTCTTACTTTTGCATATATTTCCCACTCTTTCTGACTTAAAGCACAGTTAAGTGTTCAGTTGATTTTGCCAAAGAGAGCACAGTAGAATGGAAACTTTACTTGCGTGTTAAAGACATGATTAACAAGCATCACAGGAACTCTTACTCTAGCTCTACCCACAAGCATATCATAAATAGAGAAACACAATGGGGAGCTTCTTGCCTACATAAAGTCTTAGACTTCGAATATCCTACTTCCCACACAGATTAGGCAAATGTTTTCAGTGCACTGACCCAACTAATACAAAACTTCAGGATTAAAGGGGAAATCTCAAAGGTTTTGGGAAAACTAGGCATCTGTTGACAAAAAATGCTTTTCTGAAAGAAGCACTGAAACAGTGCACCAAAATTGAGGACATAAGTCCTGAAGTGGTCTTTCACTGTCAAAACACCAGCTTTTGCATTTCCTCTGAAGAATGCATATAACCTACTGAAAAGCAAATAGTAGCTATCAAGTTCTTGAAGGTGTGTAGGTCTAACAATGATTCTTGAACTGAAAAGGTCTGCCTCTCCATAGGGGAATTTATCCATTATAATTTGCATTTCTTTCTGGCAAGAAAAGCTGGCAAATAAATCTCATGCCAACCTGCAGGGTTACTGAGGCAGTGGCATCTAGGAAGACTGGCCGTAAGTTTCCAAAGGGTCTGGAGGCAATTTATTGATACTTAATAGTAGAGGTTTCAAAATTTTTAAGACATTCTGGGTCATGGTTTCCCATATAGTAAAGGAAGTTTTTCCTGTATGGTAAAGGCTACATATGCCTCTACCATAGTCAGTGTTGACTAGATCACTAGATCATCTGCTGACAGTCTGAGCATGCTGGCACAACAGATTGAGCCTTGCCCACACAAGCAAGGAACCTTTAGATTATAGCAGAAACTGCTGGAAAAGCCTGAGGAACATCTGTGAAGGCATCCCCCTTACACTCTGGGCAGATAAGATCACATGGAAAGGATACAGGACCTTCACGATTCAGCACATCTTTTATTCTGGAAGCAGGGTCTAAACAGTTCTCTTGCTTTTGACATACAAGCTTCAGAGCCTAGGTACCATCCTGTGATGGCAAGATGTTCAAGTACATTTTGGCATAAAAAGACATAAACTCCAAATCACTGCTTATTGCAGTACCTGTACCAAAATGGTCCAAAAGACAAAAATGTCTGTGATCACAGGAATGGTAACCAACCAGAAGACTACTGTCCTCAGTATTCTCTGACCAGATTTTTTCCAAGATTGAATGATGTGGCAGCAAACAAGACTGAATTTTCTCAGTCATTCAGAGCTGAAGGCAATACCAACAGGCTCCAAACTAAGCAAAAATTCCCATTTTGATCTGGAGCTGGCAAAGCAGACACTCATATTCGTCTGGTCAGACAGCCCAATCCAAGACAGAAGATGCCAGACATCAGCCTTATAACAGCTAGATGCTGAAGGAAGGGAGATGGATACAGTGGATGTTGAAACAAACTAGGCTTATAAATTGTACCTCAGGAATTGGATCCATCTTAAAAAGCTCAAGAACTCTTATGAATTTAACCTTTAATTCAAAAATCTTCAAATTGAACAACTGCAGAATCTATCTGAACACTTATTTCTGTACATTAAATACGAAAAGCCAACAGTAACAAAAGAGGAGATTAATTACTAAGTTTTTCTTATAGGTATAAGATTTCTTAACTTTTATGTAAGAAACATGAAAATTAAAACATTTACCTTGTGGAGTTATGTGTGAATTATTTGCTTGAGTAGCAAGATGATTTTCCAGTTCTTCTATTTGTTGCCTGTATTGCTGCAGCTGTACTTCAAACTGCTCAACCAAGATTCTGAAGTAGCTAGATGAGTAAAACAATGAAACTATATTATAAAACATCACTAGTTTGCCACTATTTTTTAATCTGATCTGTATTAGCTGACAATTTTCATTTAATTAATTGCAACTAATAAAAAAATTAACAGTTTTAACATTCTTGACATCCCTCTACTAGTGGAAAGAGAGTAAAGACACTATTTCTCATGTCTATGAGAGAAAGATAAATTAAGTGTAGAAATAAAACACTGATTCTATGAAGCATTCAGTACAAATGTTACTTGAAGCAGAAAATTGTAATATGAAGTTCATAGAATCACAAAATGGTTTGAGTTGGAAGGACCTTTAGAGGTCATCTAGTCCAACCCCCCTGCAATAAGCAGGGACATCTTCAGCTAGAGCAGTTTGCTCAGAGCCCTGTCCAATCTGACCTTGAATGATGCCAGGGTTGGGGCACCTACCGCCTCTCTGGGCAACCTGTGCCAATGTCTCACCACCCTCACTGTGAAAAATTTCTTCCTTCTACCTAATCTAAATCTACCCTCTTTTAGTTTAAAACTGTTACCCCTTGTCCTATGGCAACAGGCCCTGCTAAAAAGTCTGTCCCCATCCTTCTTATAAGCTCCCTCTAAGTACTGGAAGGTTTCAATAAGGTCTCTCTGGAATCTTCTTTTCTCTAAGTTATATTATTGACTATTTTTTATGAATAACAGTAACTCACTCTGCTGGGGCTGTATTTTCATGCTGGAGACCAGGAGGAGTTTTCTGTGTTCGTAATGCTATTTCTGCATTCTTTAGCTCCTAAAGAGATGGGGAAAATTAATAAAAGGTAAGGTTCTGTATGAAGCGTTCAAAAAGAAAAATAGCTACAACTCTACTTTCATTCACATAAAAATATTTTCTTCATATATTTAAATTAATACTGCAGTAGAATCTGACCAGAAATTCTTCAAAGAATAGACTGCCAGAAAGTTGGTGAACTGCAAATACCCACAGAAGTTTGGGGAAGGAACAAACAGCAGCACATACTGAAAGCACATTGAGATCTCAAAAGTTGAGAAAATATTGCACTAAACTGTCAAAAGTGAGATCTAACTTCTATTGTACTTCATAAATCCTGTTACATTATTGAGGACTAGGGGAAAAAAAGCAGTCAAGTGCAAGGAAGTAACACACCTAGAAGTGAAGAAATAGAACAAAAAGGATTATTTTGCCTTTAAAAAAAAAAAACTAGTTCAAAAAAAAGTCTCTCTTTCTATGGAAATGATCTTTTTATGCATGATAATTACAGCATACACTTCTGTTTAATAGTTTCTAATAACTCCACCATTAAGAATTTCTCAGTGCCTGGTTCTGTGATTATTCTCAACTGCATCAATTACAGAAATATAAGAATAACAGAAACAAGTTTTTGTTTTCACAGAAAACTGTTGGCAAGGCACAGCTGTAGAGTATTTCCTTTTGGTATCACAAGATATAGAAAAAAATCAACGTTTTTACTTTAGAATAAAATACACTTACTTACATAGCAAGCAGCCTTGATATGCCAGATGAAATAAAAAGTGGTACAGAACTTAACTTGAAAAGCACTTGCATTGAAACTTGAGCTCAGACTGGTTGCCCAGTTAAGATGCAGACCAGTTGACAGAGTTGTGACCCAAGTTCACTAAATGAATACTACTGCTAGTTAAGATATTTGGTCCCTGAAATGACTGTTAAAAAAAAATCACCCCATGACATCAGAAGAAAACATACTCGCATTTCATGCAGAGTCCAGCATGTTGTTACCATTATGTCTTCACTAGCAGCTGAATATATAACTGAAACTCAACTAAAGGGGACACACATTCCCTTCTGATGTCCTTCCTATACAGGAGTGCTTTCCTGAATAAAGGTCATTTTATTGCTCCTGTACTCATCTGAAAATACTGACATCAGAGGTTTCAGTCTCCCGCAGTAACTTCAAATAGATTAGAAAGGATTAAATTTTTCCACTTTGTTTACAACCGTTTTAGTCTGGACACATGTGTTAACTGATAAAGAAGGCTAGTTACCCTGTATGAAATAATCAACATACAAACTCTACAGAACAAAACTTCTATTCAGTTATACCTGTGCAGTTTCCACTTTCAGCTTGTCAATATTAAGAGTGTTTCTCTGTAATCCACTGGCAACTACAGACAGAAGTTGTTTCAAAGCTTTAATGTCTTCTTGTACTTTAAGCATTGCTTTAGAGGACATTCTACTAATTTCTTCCTGAACTTGTTTTTGTTCTTTCACAAATTTCCTGAGGAAAGGAAAAAGGGGGTGGGGAGGAAAGAAACATATTGAACCTGAAGTAGGCAACTGTTTACCTCTCAGTCACATTATTTAAATAACTATTAATTTTTCCAAAATCAAGTACTGAACAGTAAAATTACTGTATAGCATAGCCTTATCTTAAGTCCTAGCATGCTAATACTGTAAAAAAAACCAACAAACCTCCCCCAAATTCAATAGCAAGTGTTTAAACATGTTATGCCAAACCCTGACAAATGAAGATATATATCAATTATTTCATATATAAAATAATATATAGTCTATGTAAACGTGATTACTACTTTGAACTCACAAATACAGTGACATACAGCCTCTGACTTGTCTACAACCTGCCTCCTTCCTGCCTGAGGGAAGGCTCTTTTGCAGTTCTCTATTCCACAGAGTCCCACAATACATAGCAATATGAACATAAGGTTCAGTGCTTACTGTGTATGTGCAATAGGCTTAATACTCCCTGGGAGAGAGGGATCAGATTCTAAGAGCATATTTGTTGGGCATGCCCATTTGTGTAAAAGCACGGAAAAGTGCAGCTGAAAAAAAAAATCAACCTAAGGCTGCATCTACTAAACTATCCATCTACTCTGTTCCCAAGGTTAACCTGTCAAAAAGCCTTGGGCTAGTAAGTTATCCTGCGTGCAGTCTGCAATAAGGCGTTTTTGTCACAGACCATCAACAGCATACAATACTTCAGCTAATCAACTATCATAAATAAAAAACACTACTTACTGTAGATTTTCTACATCTTGACAGATTACTGGAGGTAAATTTTCATCCTTTAGTGCTTTACTATCTCTACAAGAGACAAAGGATGTTTAGATGGTGCTTTAATACTGCCAAACATTTTTGTAGGACTATTAAATATCATGAAAATGCTCAAGTGACTGACTACACAGCTTTGCACTCATTGCATATATGCCGCAACTAGGAATGATTTGGATTAAGACATACAGACACTATGCCAGGGTCCAAGCCTGTGGTGTAAGCATTGTACACATTTGCAGAAACCGTTTTTCAGACCGCATAATCAGTCTATAGCAGATGCCAGATAAGCTGTAGGTATTGCATTTGATGGGAAAATTGCAGTGTTTAAAATTCTGAACCATCATTACTAAATTGGCCATATTGCAAAAGTTGGTTATTTACATTTATACCTTTTTCAAGACTGAAGTAGTAGGAAAGCCAATATATTTAATTTAGCTGTTTTCTAATAAGACATGGAACACAAAGAAAATTTGACACTTACTCTGGTCTTGTTCCTGTTTTGTCATCTAGAAAATAAACACTGTAGGTCAGAAATAAAGCTTTGAAGAACAAACAAAACAATCTTAATGACATTTTAGGGAAGAACTAATGACTGCAATCTGCTTGATTTCTCTTGATAAGAGGAACAGACTAGGCTAGCCATAAGAGAAAAGCGTTTAATTTACTCCCCCTTCACAGATGAGTATCTTTTCAAGAACAATGGTTCAACAGCTGAGGTGCTAATTTCTTGGCAGAGTATTGCCAAAACATCTTGTGTCACTATACAAGTCGCTACAAATGCATAAACACTGCAGTTGCATAAGAAATCTGTTCCTGCTTATGCAACCACAACTCAGACTTGTGCCCACAGAACATTCAAGTGTTTAAATTCAGCAATAGCAGTCTCCTCTCAAATACAAAGGTAATGAAGGTTTGCCCATTGAACTTCCTTAAGAATTCTGCTATTGCATTAAATCCAGTAATGAATGAGGGTTTACAGAATTGAAGATGTTATTGTTTACCTACCATCTACACACTCCAAACTACATAAATATGGATCAAGATGTCAAATGCCTCTAAGTAACAGTGAAAACAATATCATGCATAACATAGGCCATGACTAGAAATAGGGGTAGTAATCACATCCCATACCAGAGCAGTCTAAGAACAGCACTCACTCAAAAGCCCAGGAAGTGGGATTCACCTTCTTTGGCTGGATACATTTCACATCCTCACTTCCCTCTCCATGCCACCAAGACACAAAGTAGCTATGCAGCTAATGCTAGTGCCACAAACATTTCAAGCTGCATAAACCAGTGCTCCTGCCAGAAGAAGCCACTACTTTTAGAAGCAACATCTACTTAAATTGTGTGCAGACTCTCTCATCCAGTACATTAGAAAGCCTGGAGTCTCACAACCATTCCTTATGACTTTTGTTAGGGGAGTGGGGATCTACATAAAATCAAGAGGGGAAAAAAAAATGGAAAAGGGGTTAAACCCCAGAATTTAGGACTCCTTTTCTCTGCTGCTAACCTAAAAATTAGGCAGAAAACTGAGCATACTTTACTTTTTCTCTCCAGCTACCTTTTTTTTTTTTGCTGTATGTCAGAACAATACTTACAAAGTAAAGATACAGATTTGAAATCAGATTTTGCAACTTTCTGGGCAAGTGAGTGCTCCAGTTTTCACATTATTTACATTTTTTTAGTAATACATGAGGAAAATATGTATTCTTAGAACAGCTTCTTTTCCTGCAGCCATATTTTAAAGAAATATTAGACAATCAGTCTTCAGTCTCCAGAAGGAAAAGCTTTTATAACCAATTCCAGAGAAGAGAACACAGGTGCTAGACCCCATCTGTCCTGGGATTCCTTGGGCACTTTTCTTTGGTAGCCACATCTCCTTCATTTTCTTCAGGAAGCGAAAGAAATAAAAACCTCAAAACCATAAACCCACCACCATCAAACCTTAACAGAGTTCCTCATATAGCAGTATAAACAATTGTACTGACAGAACTGAGTAGCAGGACACAGATTTGTCTGGGTCGCTTAAGCTAGCACTATCCATTACAGGAAACACTCCTAAATTAAAACCTAAATTAAGAAAACTCAAGAAATAGTTGTCTTCGACACCTCACATTGCTTATGTAAGGGATCTCTGCTTATCATCCTGACAGCGATAGTACAACTCCTGCAGTTCCACTATGCAACACAGGGGGAATTCAAGTACTCATTCAAGTTTCCACCCTAAGAGCTGGGTAAAACAATGGTGAGATGTCAGACTGAAATAGACTGAGCCTGTGGTTCTCTGGTCCTCATTTTAAGATACTTGTATATGATGGAAGCGTTGTGATCTCCTAATATTATAGTAATGGAAATCCCGTAAGAACCTAGAAACTGCAGGGTTTTTTCATCACTCCCAGTTCCAGTAATAAACTCCAAAACCAATCAACATCATGAAGAGCACTCCAGTTTGGACAGTCAGTATGCCACCTCTTCTACGAGTATGAAGAATTACGTCTCCACAACTTATGTTACTCTGTAAAGACAGTTTCATACAGTTTCTATAGTTCCTTCTCTTTAGCTATTGGTATACCTAATTTAAAATTTGTCTCCTGAATAGAGTCAAAAGATTAAATTAGCAGTATTGATTCCCCAGAGAAAATGCACATTTTACAACCAGCTTCAGTTAAGCTTACTTTAGAAGTATAAAACCAAGACAAATTAATAAGTATCCACATCTCAATGCTCAATATTCCCTTACTTAAGTAATTTAAAGCTACCACAACATAAAATTTTTCTAACTGGTTTTGACAACCTGATAGAATGTATCAGATCGAACTACGCACCACCAGAAATACAGCTTGGAAGAACAACAGCTAAAAATAGGATATTTTTATTGTGCAGCCTTTCGAAAAAGGAAACCAAGTCTAAGATTTGTTACACAGCTGGAGAGCACTGGTTTCAAACGAGTACTCTTCGTATATGCAATGCATTACTTAAACATAGCTCTGCTCCTCCCTCTAGTGGCTATTTGACATAGCTGGCCAAAAATCTGCCATGGCTTTCCAGCAAACGGTTGTATGAGTCTTCACCCCTGAAAAGCTAAAGGGTTTAGATACTGGTTCTCAGGTATGAAATTGGCTTATACTTATTTTAAATAAATTTACATTACATTTTCAACCAAAATCTTATTCTTCTATACAAGCACAATACCAAAGAATGAAATAACTGAGGGGGGGGGGGGGGGGGGGGGAGGAGGAGGGGGAGGGAGGGAGGAAGGAGGACATCATCTTTAATTCCATGCTCCTAGCACAATGAAATATTGTCATTGCTACAGTGCTCTGATAATTTTCTCAATAAAAAAATTATTAATGTTTTAAAACAAAACTTACTTTTTTTGTCTGAAGAACTACTAAAATCAATGCCACCAAGACCTTCATTGGCAGTAGTTGAAGGAGCCGCAGTTGTCCCCAGAGTCAAACTCAAAGCATTCTGTCCAAGTCCTACAAGATACCCAAATGGAATTTCTGCAGTTAGTGTTGATAATTAACACTGATTTTAAACTAAAAGCACATATAATCTTGCTTGCAGTTTCAGTGTCCAGTTACTACATTTGGATTTAAAAATATGCAAAACAAGCACAGAAGAAAGCAGATTGCATGGAGTTTCATACAACTGTATGCAACTTTTTAATGTAATTTCTTCACATTACTAGGTAACTAATTAGACAGCTAACTTATCAGCATCTTAAGTATCTTTCTGTTTCATTTAGAGTTTAAGAGCAGTGTTACCAAGACTACAACACAGCACAACAAATTTTTCCCCTAGAGCTGAAAGAAGCTGTGAAATGACAATACTAACAATTAAAAGATTTAATTCAGACCAAAAGCCACCAAAATAAGAAGCATTCAACTTCTCCACAGCTAAAGGAGATACTTGTATATCATTGCCCTCTCCCATTTATGGTCAACTTCCTTGAGTCAATTATGGTGATGACAAAGATTTCCTTCTGTTTTCATTTAAAAAAAAAAGTACAAGTGCATTTAAGAATGAGAAAACAGCCAATGATTTCAGATTTCATTTTTACTGTCCAGGCTTAGCAACACTGTTCTTAACTGTAACTGTTAAAAATTACACTTTCACAGTGTTAAGATTTTATATAAACTAAATCTTACATTATGAATTTATACAAACAGACATTAAGTTTCAATATTTTGAGACAAAAGGAGAAAAAACTAAAATAACTTTCACCTGTTGCTGCTGTGCTTGTATTCTGGAAGAGTGAACCTCCTAAACCTGCTAAGGCTCCTCCTAAGGAAAGGCCTGTGGAGGCAGTTGTTGTCGGAGCAGTCGTGCCACCCAAATTTAATGTAAAGCCAGTAGTTCCTGCAGAGAAAGCAAGGCAGCTTCATGCAGACACTGTATTCAGATACATCATAGACAATCTGAAATAACTGAAAGATCTGAACAGCATCTTTATCATAATTGGATAATAAACTCCATTGTTGTTTTTATTTCCTGCAGATTTTCCAAACAAAGCCATAGAGACTTTTGAATTATATGTTATTTTGTTCTATAATGTCATAATTCTGATTAGTCCATATTTACCTGCAACTATGTAAAATTTTTGGGAGTCCCCCAGAACACTAGAGAATCTAACACCTGGAACAGAACTCATTTTACAGCATAATGGATATAATGAGCACTATTGACTCATTATATTAAAATGCTGAAATGTCAATGTTTTATGTTAAACTTTAAAATCATTTACATAAGACAGATGATACAAAGACATTTCCTTGGCAGTTTAAGCCTTCTTCTGGAAATAAGCACCCCAGCTTTTGGTAGGATTGGGAAGAATTGAGAAAAAACATAGGCACAAAGGGACAGCACACAGAGCACAAATAGCTGAGCTCAAATGCAGACTCCTAAGGTTAAGAAAAATGAACTCCAGTCAATCATCATCATGCACAGTGCAGTTTAGCTGAGTTAAATATGATGGCAGGTATGTATGAAAACTACACTGGAAAAACCTTGTTTCCACTACTACTTAATCACTTCAGGCCATCTACAGAAGGTAGACATTTTCCAAACTTTTCAACTGCCCAAGTAGGAAGCTTTCAACCTTCAGTGGGGTTTACAACAACAAAAATAGTGATTTCACATGATGAATCAGCTCTTGCTACATTTCTAATGACTTAGATTATATGCTGCCTATATCACATGGTATAGTGCCCATAAATCTATCTGTATTAGTGTACCCAGATTTAGAACTAATGAAGTGCAGTGAACCTTCTTATTAAAGTACCTTAAAATTATGTAAATACTAGAAAAATATAGAGTGTAGAACTGTTTTTAAAGTTTTATTGTTAAACAAAAACAAACAAAAACCCCCAAACAAACCCCAAACATTTTCCTACCTGCTGCGGGAGTTGATGTAAGAGCAGATGATAATGACAGGCCACCCGCTGAGGTAGAAGTAACAGGTAAAGCAAATGGCGTGGCTGAACCTGCAGGTTTGTTGAAACCTAAACTAAAGCCTGTGGTAGCTGCTGATGTGGTGGCAGGCGTGCCTAAAAGAAACCCAGAAACAATTATGACTCTTAGAACATTCTGTCTGAGAACGGTCAATTCACCTTCTCTTCTGAACTATTGCCATTTAACCATCGTGAGCACTACAGCATGCAAGATGACTTGCATTAAGTAAAATATTCCCATAGCACATTCAGATAAATTCCAAAGGTTTACATTAATTGCACAGGCATTGTTTCTCCATAATTCCTAGTGATCCAATGGGCTTTAATCATGGGCTGGCAATTACATTTAGTGGTAAAGCAAAAAAAAGGTTAAAAAAAGCGCTTCTACCACGAGCATCTAATAGGTGAGCCAAATATTGGTAAATGGAGCTATAAACAACACTGCCCAAAATAAAGACTAAAAATTCTCAGTTGGATGTGCATACCAAAATGAACGCACATATCCTTTTAATTTGTAAACAGGACACTCAAACTTTGCTTTTGAACACTCTGAAGTAAAGCAAATAAAGCTTCCACTTCCTGCTGTTTTCATGGTAAGAATACATTTTAACACTCTAGATTCCATACTCTGAAGTAAAGGAGGAGTGTGCATATACATACACAAACCACAATGGCATGCATAAGAAACACATATTTGGTATTCTCAGTAACTGCTGTGTGTCTGTTTTGGATGAAATAATTTCATTCAGCTATTGAAAAGAATTAATGTTGACCTGCATAGTACCGGCTGCCACATATGATTATGCATTACACAGTCTGTTCTGGGTTAGCTGCTGCTCCTCTCTTCTTCTGCTCATTTCCTTTGCTTCTTCATCCGACACTATTTTTCCCTATTTATTCACAGTATGGTTTCCTACATTCTTGGACTGCAGTCTGTCCTGCAGCACCACCCCCCAGCATTTGTGATACTCAAGCTCAGTTGCTCCTCAGACCTCAGTTGCTGGTGTTTAAAAAAGGGGAAAAAAAAACCCCCACAACTACACACATATTCCTGTATTTCTAATGACAGTTGAAAAATAGTCACTAATGCATCAGAGAAACAAAACTAAAAAATTCCCAAGGTCCATTCACAGTTCAACCCTCTTTATTCTTCTAGAAGAGGTAATTTCCAGACCTGTTCACACAAAGTTCCTTAGAGCAGGAAACTGTATGAAGAATTCTTTGACAACATATTCCACCTCCCCTCTGCTGAAGGATGAAACTCGTTAGGGGGACAGAAATATAGAGTCTAACTTTTCACTATGGCCTACGGCCACTGTCACTATTGTACAGGAATGCAATAATCCTTTAACAAGTAACAGCACCCAGAACTGCAGGGCTCCAGTCTGGTTTGCAGCCTTAACATTTGGGCTGCAAAGCAGACTGCAATTAGTAACAGGAAAAAAGCTCACATATGACCATTAACTTTCTACATTACAAGAAAGATCTGTGTTTTTTTTCTGTGTAACATCGAAGTCCAAATTCGGTCCTTACCTAGTGTCAGTCCTGTAGCAATAGTTGTTGCTGTTCCTGCTTTAAGAATGAAAACAAACAGAATAAGAATACTAATTGAAGACCACAGAGCAGTTATGACAGTAAAAAACATGAAAAAAAACCCCACTGACATAATGCAACATTGCGAGACAATATGTAGACTATTATACAAGTTTTTTCTTTAGTATGTTGAAAGCAAAATGTAAACAGAGAAAACAGTATTTGTAAGCACCAGCAGCACAAATCAAAGCATAACTGACTTCAAAACCCATCATTTTTCTTTATAATAATCTGCCGACAGTGAAGCTGATGTTAACATAGCAGTATAGCAAATTGTTTGAAATTTCAAGCAAATGAAGGTAAACAAAAATAGGGAAACTAGTAATTCTTTTTTTTTTTTTTCAGTATTTTTTTTCAGCCATATAGCAGTATATAACATTAGTACGTATAAGCAGATTTACAGTATAATGAAGAGGATTATGGAGTCCAAAGTCTTTGTAAAATCCTGCATCTTGGTCTAGAGTTTCTGCCCCAATGGTAATTTAAAGAGATTATTTTGAACACAGTGCTATGCCATTTCACATTTTAAATAACATCTGATTAGAAGGTAAGAATCATTGAGAGCTAAAAGAAATCATCCCAATGTAGACAAAGTAATACAGGCTTTCAGTCTACTGTTGAATTTGTATCCAGTAGATTGGTTCTTAGAACTTCCCCTACCTACTCATACAAATGTACAAGAAAAAAAAAACAGACCATTTTGTCCAGCAATACTGGAGCCAAAGTAAAATTCATTAAGTTATGTCTGCATGATGGCTGAAAAAAAAAAAATGCCTCCAGTCAGAAAAGTCTTACTATTTTGCACTCCAAAACTCCTATAAGAATCTTTATGTTCATAGGCTGAATTAGAGACCTAAGAAAATTATTGATAAATTTCTTCATGCACATTGCTACCATTAAAAAAACCCAAACAAATCCAGAAATGTTTACTATTGCAGGATTACAAATATCACATTACAAATATACTAACAATCTCACAAGGCTTTTAAATACATTTCAGATCAAAATATACCTCAATCTTAAATCATAATTTTGAGCATCCTGGATGAAGAGCTGGATTTCTAGAAAACATCAGGATTCAAATTATGGAACAATTTACACATAGGTCCAGGCACAAAAATGCATTTGTTTCTGCAGCATTGGTATTGCATAATTTGCAGTGAATGACCTTTTTAAACTGTCCAATGAAGACTTTCACAAAACTATGTAAGTAATATTCCGAGCTACAGAACTTCTGTAGAAAGAAGTAAGCACATTATGATGACCTTTTTTTGTGTACATGATATACTTCACTTCTGCTGTACAAGAAATTTTTTTCTACCTGTACTGGTGCCTCCTAGTGTAAAGCCAGTGGTTGGTTTTGATCCAAAAAGTCCACTCCCAAATCCCACTGAAGGAGCTGATGTAGTTGCTGTAGCAGTGGAAGAGCCCAGAGTTCCAAAATTAAGTCCTCCTGTTGAGCTATTACAAAATTAGACTATTAGCAATAATTATTTTTCAAAATAAAAAAATCCACCAGCACCCCTTATTTCAGTTTCTTTCTCATGCCATCATTCATTTTCCCCGAACCATACACAGTGCAGCTGGACAAGACAGAGTCCAAGCTCACTGACACCAAACAGAAAGACAAAGCCTATCTCCCTCTTTCCTTCTACAGCTCCATAACTCCTACTGCTTCCCTGACACTGACTCCAGTATTTGTTCAACTCCTTGCTGAACAGATACATCTTACAAGAAATCTGAACTTCTCTGTTAGATCATCTTGTTAGTTCTAATTATTCTCCATGAACTACTGAAATGGCAGAACAAATGCTAGATGCAGCACAAAGATAACAACAAACCTGCAAGAACATATTTTCAAAGCAGGTTACAAGTCCAGTTAGATACCTCTGACCAGAAATCTCAACCAGTGTTGCTTTATTTCATTCTAAAGTGATAAGCAGAGACACACAAGCATTCACATCAACAGCACAACTTTGCCCTCTTACCACCAAAGCACTCCGATGCATTAATTCATTTTCTAACCAAAATACCACCTTCCCCACAGGTGCAAACCATAGAGGATGCATACCTGCAATACTTTCTTTTCTGACTGTATACATCCAAAAGTTACAGAGATAAACTTCCAGAGCTATTTTCACAGATGAAGGGGAAGAAAGAAGAAAGAGAGAACCAGAGATAAGTCATCACCAGGAAAATTAAGCTTTTTAAATTTATTTTGGGTAGTTACAGATTTTTAAAGTTTCATGACAAATGGAGAACAGGCTTTATGTTTAGCCGAGAATGCACTAAGTTACTGTACAAAACACGGGGAATACAATAATCATTATTATGTAAACAATGTAATTACAGGTAATAGCAGCCAGATGATTCCACAATTTAAAAAATTTTGTTCTTAAATTGAGGAAAGAGGAGGTGAATAATTTATTTGTAGCAACTTCCTGCTCCCATTTGTAAGCCTTTTTAGAAACTAAGTTTTGTCTACCTTAAACAATATTTTGTGTAAGTACACAGCAGCACTGAAACGAAATGCAATTTTGACCTCAGAGTAACAGTTGTCAAGAAGTATTTTATGTTTCAGGTGTACAGTGTTCTCTCATTGTTCCCTTATTTCCTCTCTATTTCTGTGAAGGCAGCTCCTAGGTGTAATAAATTAAACACAAAAGTAAATCCTTAAAAAAACCCTATAATTAGTTTTCACACTAGGTGACCTTTAAAGGTTCCTTCCAACCCAAACTATTCTATGATATTAAGTTTTCAAAATATCTACAAAACTGATAGTGGCAAGCCCAGCAAAAGTTGGTTGCAAGTTCAAAATCTAGGTGCAAGACTCAAAGTAATTCAAGAAGCAGAGTGGCCAAGAAGTTTAGAAGGACACAGACCCACTAACTGTCCAACTCGACAGGAGCAAAAGCATTTCAGCTTGCTTTGCTTCCAAAATTTCAACGTACCAAACTATAGCACCATGACCTAACTGCTTCTAAAGTTAAACATACAACATGGTGCTTCTCTCACTAGTCAAGGGTTTACGCTTCCCATCTTTTTCCAGTACAAAGATGATTCATCTGTGAAAGTTTTCCTTGTTTCAGCATTCCAGTAGAAGAAAGCTAAGGTACAAAATAAGCAATTCAGCAGTATAGGACAAAAAAAACCCAAATATAATGAAGTGGTATTTTGTTTGTTTTTTTAAGGTAGAAAGAAAACAAAATGTACAAATAAAGCAATGGCAGCTTTCTCACTAGCAGGAGAAAGAATGTGCCAGAAGGACTATCTACTCCCCACAGATAAAAGGAAGAGAGCTCTGGTCACTGAAGTCAGGTCTTAATTATAATTTTAGAACAAAGCATAGCACCTGGTTAAAGCATAGTATAGAGAACATCAATTAACAAACAGAATGAGCATAAGTACCTGAACAGCTATTGGTGCAATGCAGGAATTAAGCAGGCTTTGGGCCACCAGAATATAATCTTTGATTGGTCACACTGATGAATAATACTTATACTTGGTCTACACAATAAAGCCCCTTTTCTCCCAACACCTGGCAATATTGTCTTAGACCCAGCTCAGAAGAACAGCTGCTGCTTCTTATAGTCTCAAACATGTTCTCAAGCAAACCATCTCATAGGGATTCTCAAGATTCTTTCACCAATCACCAGGCAGTAAAAAGGCCTCTTCCTCTGTGATACTTGATCAATAGCTAGTCGCTGAAGACTTGTCCTGCTTATAAGAATAAATATCTGACTAAAATGCAAATACCATATCCTATTAATTAGCACCTGTTAAAACTTTTACTTATTATTTTTAAGAGATTAAAAAGCCAGTTAGAACAGCAAAAACCCCAAAAAAAGATATTTAAGTTCAATAGGCTGTTTTTAGCAAGTGCAGATCAGCAAGACAAAAGTTTTCCTCATTTCTGACAGTACATTTAAGAAGAATGTTTCTGAATAAACAAATATTATTTTAATTTGCTCATTTTAATCACAGGAAACCTGCATGAAACAGACATGAAGCAAAAGAAACTGAAGTTCTTTACCAACTCCATATAAGCCTCACTGTGGGAGTTAAAAAAACCCAAACACCCAAAAACCAGAAACAAAAAAACCCAAGCACAGGTAACATGAGAATGTCATCAATTTGTCATGACCACAAAATTAAGAGTATTAGAAGAAACTCAGAAAACTTGTTTGCTTTCAAATGGGCTTGCAAAAAGCAATACTGCGATTTAATCCAGAGACACTCATTCAG